ATTTAAAATGGCCTGACACAAGTCTTAAGAAATTCCTACCTCTTTGCCCATTTCACAAATAGTGCCTATTCATAAAATTGGTGACTGGGTCTCCTGTCATTCTGACATCTTTAAATTAGTAAGAAATAAAAGAAAATCTTACTTTAAATCATGACTAAAAATGACTGAATCACTGTAAATATATGCCTGAACCTACAGTAATTTGTCACAACATATTCATTGCACCTGCTTTCTTGCTGGGATACAACAGCAAGAAATTCAATTTTAAGATTGCACAACACAGTTCCAAAGTATGGCTTCATGCCTATTGGAGTAAAAAAATGCAATACCATCTAAAATGTTAACATATGAACAGTTTTTCAAAGACAAAATGTTAAATTTAGTTTTAAAATTGCAAATTGTTAATGTGAAGGGTAATTAAGCTTCATAAGGAAAGTCTTAAAGATCACAAGAAAGAAGTCAGTTTTCTTAAGTCATTAAGGTTGAGTCAGTACTCGCATGTTGATTAATAATAATGTGAAATAAATGTATTACAGAGCAAGATCATACATTATACATTATACTTGCGTAAGTAGTCTACATACCATTTTCCGACTTCTGCTATTTTCAGCCAAAACTTGTGAAAAATATTCACATTTTTGTGTGATTGATTCCTTGGATTCATATCCCCTTTCCTTTAAACACTGAAATGATAATTTGCTCCTCCATTTAAAGGAAAAAAGCGAAGATCAAGCGAGGCGAAAGCCAACACTGGTCGTTAAAAGGCACTTTGCTTCGCTTAGCGCTAGGCGTGTCGCCTGGAATGAGCTTCTAGTGTGAACACTACAACTGGAAACGAGTTGGTTAATAATGACACCGCCACACGAAACACAATGCTACATTAGAAGTGTGTGTCTTTGAGTCTGAATCAGAATTACTTGGTTTAAAAACTAATTCTGTCTCTAACTAGAACTGACTCCATATGCCAGTCGCATAAGAGGAACTATGTACAATGTTTCTGCGCCGATGTTTTTGCTGCTACAATAACCAACCAACTGTTGTAGTTAGGTCGACAAACGAAATATAGTCTTCACGTTTCTGCATTATTACAATAACTAAAGGGATCTGGGATTGTTCAGTTGGCATAACAACCAGTTTGCGGGCTGAATGGCCAAGAAGCAGGAGTTCGATTGCGGAAAAGAAAAGAGATTTTCTCTTTTCTGTGACGACCAGACTGGCTCTGCGGCCTACCCAGCTTCCCATACAATGGATACAAGAAGAAAAGCGGCAGAAGCGTGAAGCTGACCACTTACCTCCACCATGTTTCGAGGCTAAGAATGGTGGATACAACTTCCTTCACTCGTTTCCATGGCTTGATATTTAATTAATTACACTCAGGGACTACTTTCATTTCGGTTAATTTTACTAATGCTGCTATAAAAATATTATGTTTTCTGTCTCTACTTGAGATTTCGACGTTCTCTTTCCATATTCCATGACCTCTGTAGATTGTAGATAAGCATTTTCCTGTGATAAGGAAATCTGTCAAGTGAGGGAACTGGCAAAACTCCGATGTGAATTTCCGGTGTCGGCTGGCTTGCTCATTCTTCTCCCAGCATGGAGTGGACAGGCGCAGCATGGCGTGTGTATTCTCTAGCCGTGGGTAAGTCGATGCACTAAAATACTGATATAAAATATATTGCCGTCGTATCAACTCGCTTAAGAACCTGCGCTGTCACTGAGGTCATTGTTCTTTAACCGTCTATCTTTTATACGCCTTCGTTCGCAAAATGGTTCCTGTAATTGATTCAGTGACTTAGAGAATCCCCTGCTTCCGTTGAAAGCGAAGTTTCATCGTTGTGTTTGCAGAGCCAAAAATATCCTATTATGAACCGGACTGTTCGAGTTCACAATGCATTTCTCTGATATGTATTTTAATATGATTTTACCTTATGGTTCCTCCCATTCCGGGCTTTCGACAAAAAGAAATAAGTATGAATATCATATGCGACTACGTGTAATCTTCAGCTCATGTTACCAGGGTAGCTGAATATTACAACTCTTAAAGTTCTCCATAACGTAATTTTCTCCTCCACAGTCCATCCACAAGCATTAACGTAGGGAAACATGCGCGTCTTTGCTTGACGAAACTAACCAAAAGTAGATGGCAACACTGTTTTTTCCCTTATAAGAAAAAGTAAAGTAATCCCTGTAACAGGCCACGCCATAATTCAAGCTGTTACTCGCTGGCTTCCCACCGCGGCGGCCCAGGTTCGATCCCGGGTCTGGTCAAGTGGAATTTGTGGTGGACAAAGTGGCGCTGGGGCAGGTTTTCTCCGAGTACTTCTTTTTCCCCTGCCAATCTTCATTCCACAAATTGCTCCACAATCACCCTCACCTATCATCTGGGGCTGGTACAATAGGCCAGAAGTGGCCGCAGTACAAAGGACTTGGTCCCACCCCAATAGCAATAAAAGAAAAATATCCCTGTAACAGGCCGTGAAGGCCCGTAGGGTTCTGAGACGTCGAGGCTCCCACATTTTCTCTAGACATTCGGCTCTCAGATGGTGGTAATAATGTTAGTCCTACACGTCGGCCGCCAGTTACCCCCCAGGAAGATTCCTGGTACTCTTTTCTGTAAGAGGCTGAGTCGACCTCAAGGCCACAGTGCGGCTGGACGGGCTAGGCAAATTGGAAAAAAAAAAAAAAATCCACCTCATTAGGACTCGAACCCGCGACCTTCCGGCTTTTAGCATAGTGGCTAAACCAACTACGCTACCGCGTGCCCCAGTTTTTCCTTGCATTAGACAAAAATTCGATATAAGCCAGCAGGAATATATATATATGGAATTAAGCATATAGTTTTCTCATTAAAGTGGAATATTACAATTTACGTCTTCTCCACGTGTGCAGATTCGCTGCAAAAAGAAGAGCTAACATTTAAACATATTTGTTGTTTAAGGCAAGGTAAAATTATTTCTGTGTTTAATTATCACGCCATGAAAGCATGTGGGAATGGTTGGTTGATTGGTTTCCAATGGCTGCATTTCGGATCGTTTAACCCATTTTTCTTCTGGCTTCCCAGTAGAGAGCGCCCAAGTTCTTTCTTGGGAAGCTTTGCCAGGGTTGTTGCTCATTTTGCACTACCCAGGGTACACGTATGACTTAAAGAATGTCACGGACGCGAGCAAGTGTGTCCCCCTGCATATGTGAGTTTCAGTGCCGCTTTCACAGGAGTCCGCCATTGGTTCCTATCGTAAGTCAGATAATACCAGCCAACATTTCTTTAAGATCCATTTTAATTAATAATCCTCGCATCTATAACGCGGCCTTTCAAGGGGTTTATCTAATTAGTATTTTGTAAGCATTTATGAGCCGGTCACGGTAGCCGAGCGGTCTAAGGCATGCACTGTCTTCGCTCGCTCGGAAGCCGTGGGTTCGAATCCCACTCAGGGCATGGATGTTTGTGTACAGATAGAGGCCTTGCGACGAGCTGATCACCCGCCCAAGGAGTCCTGCCGTATGTCTAAGATCTAGAAAAGCCGAAGTGAACGGAGAAGTTCATGGAGGTAGGCCTAGGCCCAGTGGGGCTGTAGTGCCAAGGAAAAAAAAAAAAAGCATTTATGAACTCTCCAAGGTATGTGCCATTACAGGCCCTTCCAGTCACACCCTTCTTCGTAAACAGAAGACGAATATAAAATGAGGAGGGAGATTTATTTGTATAAAGGGAATTTTTTTTTTCCACTGTTTCCTAATTTTTCTCCAGAATGTCCGTTATGAAAATCAAATTTTGCTATCTTGCAACAATAACAACAATTAGAAATAATATTCATGATGGAACTAAGAAAATAATACATATAGGGAGTGTTTGTTATTATATAATTCAGAAGCAATAATTATCTGAAGATTTCTATCTTCAGGAATATAATGCCGCCTGGTCTTTCGAAAGTCATCCGACGATCAGGGGGAACATCTTTCTATTTTCAGGTTCGAAGAATAAGGCAAGCAAGAAACCAACGTGAAGCAGGTAGCAAGCAGCAAGTAGCAAGGTGTGTTTGCTAAATGTTTCACATTTATTTCTTGATTGCCTTATTCTTCAGCCCATCCCAAACATCTGTTTACTTTCAACAGATTACACTGCATTATATCCCAGAAAATGTAGTTCCTCTTAGCCACCGCTAGGAGAAGCTCAGCTTCTACAAACAATTATTCGGCTTTCTTTCTAACACACTGATGTTTGAGCTGAAACAAAATTTACAAAAATAATTCTGAATGTTGTTTTCTGTTAACGTGAAATGTGATTTTCCATGCTGGTGTAAGAAATTAAATTACAGGTGTTTAGAAATAAAGTTCTCACAGAGATATTTCGATCTAAGAGTGGGGTGAACCATATTTTTGGAATAAAATCCAGGGCATACAATTACAAGATAGAGAGTGTGCGATAGGAGAAGTGGAGGGGAGTAGGAAGGAGGACATTTATATTCTGACAACTGATCACACTACTTCTTTGAAACCAAGAACGAGAAAATAACTCACCACTCAGTCTTCATCCTCATCTTTCTTCTGTCATTTTCTTCTTCCCTAGCCCTACTGTCGTTTCTCTGAAGAATATATCTTCTTTGGCAGGGGCTTCTTGTTATGTAACTTTGCTTAATATTTCAGACAATTTCCTTCTAAATTAACTTCTGTTCTTAATAAATATTCAAGAGTGTACACGCTCATAAGCTTTACTCGAAGCGACCACAGTCGTTCCATTTTTGAAAAATGTTTTCTCCGCTGAATCAAGATGTACCGGGTAGACAAAGGCCATACTCAGCTAAACTTTCAGTGTTCTAGTTGGAATACAGACCTAATAACGTGGCTGAAGTATCAAGCTAACAGTTTTCGCAAGGTACGGCTTTCTGCCTCCACTGTCAGTTTAACGTATATATATATCCTTACAGAACATCATTCATCAAACAGTTCAAAGTCATTTATAGGTGCATTCACCGACTCACATTCAAACCCCTCGCGGATAAAATAATTTAAATTTAAACACTGTTCCATTCAGATCAAATGGAAAAGTTCAGCCATTCATATATCTACACATCACTGAAAGAACTTTCCCATACCTCTAGATAGTCAGTAAAAGTTATGTAAAAATTAAAGGACATGTGTGAGTAAACTGTTCCTAGTTGTTTCTTCAAATGGACTCATTTGATTCCAAGCCTCAACAAAAATGAATTTTGTCCCGTATCAGTCCACAGAAGTTTCTCATGTTTCATCTTAGTTCGAGCAAATACCACAGTATAATCTTGCTTAGACCTTGGCCGCGTCTTTCCAATTCATCATCCATTTATCATTCTACCATTAGATGCTGTGTAGTCTAGCTACTGACAGTATTGTAAAAGAAGTGGACTGCCATTCCATACAACAAAAGTAGTTTCAGGCAAGTCCTTAGATAATTATTCATTAACAAGTGGTCTAAGGAAGTTCGTTGCAATAATTTCACTTTTTTTCCGTACAAAAGAAGATTTTCGGTTAAGTAAAATCAGTGTCAATGAGCAATCACTAGAGTGGAAGAAAGGGTGGCATGTAATGTACTGGAATATGAACGTACCTTCTACAGCTGCTTATAATAGGTCCTCTTTCGCCCACAGAACTGAGAAAAATGAAATGAATTTCGTCCTTGAAGATGGTGCTTTGTGTTTTTTCTTCTGAAGATGATCCCTAACATCGTCGCATCCTCCGTGAGAAATCATAAATGCCGAATAACACTTCACACAAGTAACACGATCCGTTATTGAATGGATTTCAGGAATGGTAATTCTTTGCTTAGAGTTTTATTGAAAACACCCTTACGTTTCAACATGATAACGTTCACATATTTTAAATGAAATGCATCTTATGCAGCACGCTCGTACCGAATGTCGGTAGCCACTTTACCCCAGCTGGGAACACAGGAATCCTCTGACGGCCATCGGAATAAAGCAATAATGTCAAACTCTTCAGCCGTGTGTTTTCTTTGCTTCACTCTGTCAGCGACAATGCATAATGAGTCTCTGTGGGTAACAGGTTGCTCTCAGAGCAGACGACTTACTCATTGTATGTGTTTTGTTATAAGAGAACAAGGATAATTTGAAGTTAAAATTCTGGTAATTTTATTAATTCTCAGTCAACCGGCCTTGGCCCTGCGACAAGATATAAAACCGAGGCTGTCCCGGCTGAACTGAAACATATTATCAGCCTGTCTAAGAAGTGCCTACTAAAGTGCACAATCTGGGTTATTACGTAATTGAACGCTTCCTGATTTGTGAATGCCACCCAAAGTTGCTATAATGGTGAAATTTCAGTAGTTAAACTATACTATGTACGTAACCTAGCCAGAAAAAACAAGAAATGCATACTAAATTTTGATGAAGGAACCAATGGAAGCAGCTCTTTGCAAGACTGAAGAGATGGCGAAGTTGTCATTAAGATCAATCTTAAGGCTGTGAGGGTGAGAAGTAGCTGGAATGGCTCATGTTCATATCACAGTGAGAGCGCTATGGTATCAGAAGTGCCGAATCATTAGTTTCTGATAAGAAAGACATAATTAGTTTGACAGTGACATTTATAAAATTATTTAACTAATCAACATAATTCCATTATAGCCTGTCATTTTCTCAGTTTGTGGACATTCTAGAAATTCTGCAATCATGTATCTGTAAATATATTCTATCTCATCCACTCATCAGAACCACATCCATTACAACGGAACTTTCATTTTAGTTCCTCAAACTTTTTTAGTGTTTCACATTTTATTTTAATTATTTGCAGTTTTGTCTATGACCAGTGGTGATGATGTTTACGATGACATCTACAGTGAGCAAGTAAGCTGTTTGCCAAATTTGGCTGACAAGTGTTTCAGTGATGTATACATGAATCTGGCTTGTCACCTTGATCCTACAGCACCGAAATATTGTGAGAAGCGTGACGTGAAAGATCTGTGCAGGTAAAAACTGTTGCAGCTTCCTCAAATTTCTAAAATAGTTCATTGTCTATTGCACAAAATCAGATGATCCATAATACATTTCTTCTANCATTTCAGTAATAAGTGCTTGAAAGAAAAAATTATTAATTGGGCGTTTTTGGGTTGTTTCTAGATTAACATTATTTAAACGATATATGATATAACTCCGTCTTAAGTGCAAACTATATATTATAGGTCTTTTGTTTTGCTCTTTTTTACACACTACATGTTTCGGCCACAGACGGCCCTCATCAGGTGTATACAGTCACGTGCAGTGTAACAGATACGTGAGTGTATACACCTGATGATGGCCATCTGTGGCCAAAACATGTAGTGTGTAAAAAAGAGCAAAACGAAAGACCTATAATATATAGTTTGCACTTAAGACGGAGTTATATCATATATCGTTTAAATAATGTTAATCTAGAAACAACCCAAAAACGCCCAATTAATAATTTTTTCTTTCAAGCACTTATTACTGAAATGAAACCCCCCCAGAAATATTAAAAGTGAACTGTTTTAAAACAGTAACTAATTCGTTTTATTAACAATGAGTTCTGTATGTGACAGGTTCAGTATATATTAGTGTTCTGTTGTTGATACAAATATGGGAACACTCAGGCTGCTTGGGAAGCAGGAGAAATGTGAGTGTATGCACACATGCATGCATGTGCTCAAACACACATATATATGCATGCATGTATGTATTAGTGTGCACACACACAGAGGGGTAAACATACTCACACATATACATATATAAAAATATGTTCATGTGTTCACAGAGAGATTGTAGATACCATTAAGTACACACAAAGGTACAGTGAAATTAAATATGTGGCTTTTTCTTTGTAGTAGTCGGTATCAAGATTACAACCTTGTAAGAAGCCATGTGGTTTCATAGATGGATGCTAACATTTCAGAGGAAATTCTTGCTTCCATCTTCAGATCACAAAAGAGATTCTGCTTTTCTACAGAATGAAGCAGCAGCTTCCTCGAAATTGTTGGTACCTATCTTCCAAAATAAAGGTATCACATTGCAGATGGTTGTAGCGGAACACTGGTTGATATTATATAAGGGGAAACATCCATGAATTATTTTCATGCACTCAAGTTTCCCATTTCAACAAGAAATGGACAGCATCTAGTCCACACTTGATCCCTGAACAAGAGTGAAAAGGTATACTTTGCTGGCATTCATTTATTGCTGGAAGAATCAGTTAATTTAAAATAAAATTTTTCATTCCCATGTTAATCACAATGAAACAAATAAATAATTTTTCATTTTATGTTTTTAAATATTCAAATAAAAATATTAAAAACTAAAGTTATTATAAACATGAATAAAGCCTTTCTATGCAATGTACCAGTCTTTTATACAATAATCTGAATTGAAACATACTCTCTGGTTTTGACAACAGAGACTTTTTTGTGCTTACATAAAGCAGAACCTCTAATATGTCTAAAGGGGGTTATGTATTTAGGCATGGTGAATGCCCATCAGATATATTTTTTACATGAATGTATGAAGGAAGTGCGTATCCTATTATGAGCTTATTTTAATTGTAACTGTCTTAAGGATGACCATTTAACCATCAACACAGATGTAGTATGTAAACATGTTTATGTGAATACAAATGTGTAAAATTTGTTAAATTGAATGACGTATATTTGTAACTTCTCAACCACCACATCTCCCTTCTGCTTGTATCCAGCGCCATAGATGCACAACAACACAAGAAATGATACCCAACTGAAAGTGGAAATGAAACCTTTAATATTCATGTAGTTGTATATACAATATATCTGTGAACACAAAAAAAAATCATTGAGATTCATGCAGCATGAATTACACACTGAATGTGACTACCATGGTCGTGTACCCTTTGGAAAGACAGGCAGCTAAGTTCTTGATCAATTGACAGCACATATCTTCTGCATCTTCACCACACATTTGAAGAGTCAAAGCTCTGACTTGCATTATTATGACTGGTCTTTTTGGAACAGTTGTTTCTTGAGGTAACCATGAAGGAAGGAGTTACAGGTGTTTATGTCATTGCTATTGGGTGACCACTTCTGACCACATTTGTGTTGAGCAGGATACCAGTGGGAAACCACATATGAACTGAAAGTGGCATGCAGGAAGTCCAAGATAACATTTTCCCTGTGTTGAGTAGTGCCATCTTGCACAACCCACTGTGTATTTAATGGCAAACCAGTTGTGATAAACTGAGAGACAGAATTAATATGCAGCATGCTGAGGTTGTAGTCGCTGTTCACAGTTTGGTCAAAGAAAACTGGTCTCATTAATCCATGACTGGAGATGGATTCTTGTTCTCTATGCTAAGTGAAAATGTGCCTCATCAGAAAACCACACATTGTGCATTGTGACTTCCTCATGCTCTGCCCACACAGCAGCCTTCAGTCTCTGCTGTTCATCACAAGCAGTGTACACATGCATCACTGTCATTTTGTACTTGTACAGATGCAAATAATTGTGGAAAATTCATTGCACTGATCATCTAAATGTAAAGGTAAAGTTGCCATTGTGCTTAATTAATTAAGCACCATGCCATAAAGACATATGAGGGAGTGGAGGTATAGCTCCACCATTTTTGACCTTGGCATTAAACGGGGATGATTGGTCAGCTTCACACTCCAGCCGTTTTATCCCCCCAGGGGACCCATAGGTTAGGAGGATGGGTGGGCCCCAGAGCTGGTCTGGACACTTTGGAGTAGAAAAAGATCTCTCCCCTGTCATCCAGTCTGTAGCCTGTTTTTATACTGACTGACTTATCTGGGCTCATCTGAATTCTTCTGCAGCCTTCCAGGTTCATTTTTCCAGGCTTCTTTTCATGGTTACTCTGACAGATTCACTGTTCTATGGGCTCACTTGCAGTATGTTCGCATCTCGTGTCCAAAACCATACCATCCTACTGAAACTGCCAATGCTCACAGAGTAAAAAAACGGACAAATCTGCCTCTGCACTTCCTCTGTACTGAACTCTCTCCCTTGTTTACTGTCTTCTACATACCAGTGGGTAACCATGAGCTACTGACATGACATTAGCTAAATGTGACACATATGCCACAGAACAATATTTCCTGAATTACTACACCCACCCATGACAGAAAACTTAATCTCTAATGCTGTTGCTGTTTTATTGTTAAAACAAATATGGCACCATTTCATGTGCCATCTTGTATAATACGAACACCATCAACATGAGAGCCACAAAGATTCATAATAAGAAACAGTGTACAAATAATATAAATATAACCAACTAGCCAAGTATGAATAACTAGCTCCATGGAACCAAGTCCTTGAGAAGCCGCCAGTTGCACAGCTACTAAAAAATTTCCAAATGTTTTGTAGAACATGAGGGTTCATTACCATGATCACAACAGCCCTCCAACAGTCCCCATCCTAAGACAGATTAAACCAGTCCATACCACCCCATTGTATCTCTCTAAGAAAAATTTTAATGTCATCCTCCCACTTACATCTAGTCTTCCTAGTTATTCCTTTTCTTCTGGATTTCCCACCAAACTCCCATATGCGTGCCACATGCTCTGTCCATCGTATCATCCTTGGCTTGAACATTCTAATTATATTTGGTGAACAGTACAAGAAGCTGATCACAGTGGCCACAGGGTATAAGGCATGAACACTCTTCCCTTGCTCGAGTTCTGGGATTGTGGGTTCAAATCCCACTCAAGGCATGGATGTCTGTCTGCGTTTATTACGTGTTTGTGTTGTTCTGTGTATAGGTAGCAGCCTAGTGATCGGTTGATCCTCCATCCAAGGAGTCCTAACAAATGTGTGTAGGATTAAGAAACTAACAGAGTGGCCGAGGTACAACAAAGGACTGTAGAGCCAAAGACAGATAGAAGAATACAAGACATGAAGCTCCTGATTATGCAGCATTCTCTAACCTTCAATCACTTCATCTCTCTTCAGTCCAGATATTTGTCTCAGCACCCTGTTCTCAAGCACTCTCAGTCTATGTTCCTCCCTTAATGCCAGAGACCAAGTTTCACACCCATAAACACCACAGGCAAAATTATAGTGAATTCTAATATTTATCTTTTTAGACAGCAGATGAGAAGACAAAAGGTTCTGGACTGAATGGTAGCAAGCATTACCTGAATTCAATCTCTTCTTAATTTCTTCCTGAATCAATTTTGATTTGATACTGTTGTCCCAAATATTTGAATTGTGCCACATTTTCAAAGGATATGTTAGCTATCTTTATATCATAATTCTGGCCTGCATGCTGTGATGAGATATCAAGTTATACTAAGTTTTCCATATGTTTACTTCTAGACCAACCTCCTTGCTAGTGTCAATTAGAGCTTTTGTGTTTTCCTTTGTGGTATTTATGTTATCTCCAGTGCTTGAAGTGGAATGAAAATAGAACCGGGATGGTTTTCCCCTTTTAATTCATAGACATGAATTATGAAAATATACCGAGTGATGTATATAGTCTGTGTTCCATCTAAGACCTACAAACATATTACAGTAGTTTAAATGGCATGCGTTAAAATAAAGTCACACATGCATTACGAGTACTTATCTTCAGAATATTTTCCAGATGTTTTCATTGCTTTCTGAAGTCACCGATCTTCTATCTGCGTGGGCTGCACAAGACTGGTAATCTGCATGTCGACATCCTTTCTTTAGCCATTGTTTTACATAATATTCTGCATTGAAAGCACTAATAGGGGTCCCACTGATGAAATAAACATTAAACTAGATGTTTTTAAAAGCATCGAGCTTCGGATGGTTGAAATAATGTTCATGTTGCTGAATGCACGCTCACACTCTGCAGTTGAAATAATAATAGTATTTGCAGCTGCAATCAACGGCTTTAGTTCATCAGGATACATGTCGTCACCATTCATTATATTCATGTAATATTCATGGAATCCATGAACT